CCTCTCCCCGCTGCAGCTTCCCTCGGAACCTAGTGTCCCTATGTCCCAATCTAAGTTGAAGCACGGCAGAGTCCTTCGGAGGCCCTTTCCCACCTGCTGAGCCTCTGAGCCCTGCTTTGGCATCACTCATCCCCTGCCCACACGTCTGTGCCAGGCACCGTTCTAGGCCCTGAGACAGAGCAAGGAGTAAGGCAAGTCCAAAACTACATCTTGGACCAAGCATCCGGTTTGGCTCATGTCTGAACCACCAGGTGCCTTATACAAGTCCTGCCCAGAAACCCAGGTCAGAAAACATTCGCGAAAGCATGGGACACGTCTAGCAGTGGACAGTGACTTCCCGCTGCCTCCTCGACTGATTTGACAAACACCTCCCGAGGCCCTGCCCCTGCTTCTCTGCTAACCAGGACACCCCACTCTCCTCTGTGCACCCAAATACCTGGGCAGTTTCTAAAGCCCTGCCTGACACCACCTTCTCTGTGAAGCCATCCTCAAGCCTTCTAAAGCTGAGCCAGCAACTCCTTTCTTTGGGGGCCCCTTAGCCCTTGTTACCCTGTGTTTGGATCTTGTGTCTGTCTCCTCCATCAGACTGGGACAACCCCCACCACCACCACCCAAGAGCAGGGAAACAAACACGAGACCCCCTGTGACTCATGTCTGTGTCTCCAGAATTTGTGGCAGGCTTGGCATGCAGCAGCTTCAGTCAGTGTTGGGGGAATGAATGACTCCCCCCGAAGAACTGAATAAGCCTGAATCTTGGGACTGAGGGCGAGGAGGAGATGAGTGTAAGACTGAGCCTGAAGCCCCTGGGATCACGGCTCTGCACCCCTAACGTCCCCACCTGTGACCCCATCTCTCTGGCCACACACGCATGTGCAGAGTGCTGACTCCCCCAGCCAGCCTGGTTCAGCCCTCAGGGCCCCTCGGGGAGCCTGTTACGATACATCTGGTGTCTCGTCTGTAGGCCATCTGTCCCCCCAGTGGGATCACTGGCCCTTCTCCAGAGGGACACAAGGTCCCCTTCACATCAGGAATTCCCTAGGGACTGAGGGGCAGCTCTGCGAATCCCTACTTTGGGGGTCTCTAACATCCTTTGTAACCCTGTGCTAACCTCTGAACCTCACACCTCACTCTTCTGGAGAGAGTGGCTGTCTGATGTGCCAGGCCTCCAAGCCCAGCCCCTCCAGGAAGTTTCCTGCCCACCAGGCCCATGGGTGGCACCTCCTCCCTGACTCCTCCAGGCCTGCTGGCCTACTGAGCCTGGTGGGAGGCAGTGGGTGCAGCAGAGAGGACGTGGGCTGTGGGGTCTGGCCCTCACTCCAATAGGGACCAGCTGTGCAACTGCCTCCAGACCTTCCCAAGCCAGGCACTAGGCGTGGCCCAAAGGGCAGCTCTGAGACGTAAGAAGTGATGCCAGGAAAGGGCCTCACACAGCACCCAGTGCAGGACAGGTGCTCAAAGAACATTTGTTGATGCACACAGGGCTGTGTCTCTGATTTTCAACACCCTGTCCTCTTACAGGCCTCACCTTTCCGACGGGTAAAATGTGAGTGTGGCCCGACCCAGGGGCTGCAGGACAATATCCTCCACTGGCATACAGGTATCAGGATCGAAACTTCAGAGCACAGTGGTTAAGACTAAGTCTCTGGAGTCCCAGAGACATGGCTTCCAGTCCTAGCTATGCCAGATTCTTGCTGTGTGACCCGTGGCAAGTTGCTTTACCTCTTTGAGCCTCACTTTTCACATCTTCAAACTGGATATTAAATAAGTTGGCACATGTTGACACACTCAGTGGGCAAGTGAGACAAAATAACCATTCTAGTCATTGTGGCTTACACAGCCTCCTGTGGGCCGGACGTGGCCCCATGGGCTGGCTGCTATCTCCCCCACTGCACAATCGACTGCAGCTCCCAGGGGCAGAGATCTGTCCTCAGGCCGTGTAGACTCAGGACTGCACCCGGGCAGACAGCACAGACTATGCTCTCGCTCGCTGCCTGGGCAGCCACCAAGGTGGCAGTGCTGGGACCACAAGCTGGGACTACCTGGTGCATGTGTCACATCCCCTTGCTGGCCTGTTTGCCTGTGGCAGCCACAGCATCTCTGCACTTCCCAGGAAAGAGGGCTAGGCTCAGAGTAGGTGCAGCACTCAGGCCCCCCACCCTCAGCTCCCCATCTAAAGCCACTCACCAGGATGGTCGTGACCACCAGCGTCTTGTTGGCCAACGTCTGTGACAGGTTGATATCCAGGGTGGTGGCGTTCATGGCTAGGGTCCGGTTAGAGTACCACACCCCGATCTGGGGGCAGAGAGCGTGCCATGAGCACAGGCCCTGGGCTGCCTCAACCCTCCACGCCAGGCTCTGGTGTCGCCCTGGGCCTGCTCACCTCACGGTGGCCCTGTCGTGACTTCTCCAGGATGCGCAGGGTGTAGTTGGTCCTCTGCCCTTTGCTGTTGAACTCGACCCGCCCGGTCAGCCCGTCATACTCTACCTAGCAGGGCAGGGAGGCGGGACAGAGGGAGGGTGGCAGGGGCCCAGAGGGAACAAGACCCCCCAGAGAAAAAGGCAGAGACAGAGGTGGAGGGGCGGGCAAGGGACCAGGAAGGACAACAGTGAAAAGAGCAAGACACACCCAGGGACACAAGTGGAGATGGGAACAAAAGAGCAGAGAAAGAGAAAGTCCGAGAGAGAGAGAGAGAGAGAGAGAGGCAGAGAGAGAGAGAGAGAGACGCAGAGAGAAAGGCAGGCGGAGAGAGAGGTCCCTCAGACAGGTGGAGGAAGGGCAGAGGAAGAGAGATAGCAGGAGGACAAGGAAGAGGCTCAGAGGGAGCAGAGGTGGAGAGTGGAGTTGGGGTCAGAGGAAAAGGCAGAGAGGGGTCACAGGGGAGACACAGTCAGCGTGCCATCCACAGGTGGTGCCCGGCCTGCCTCTCTCCCTGCCCCCCGCTGCCAGCTCACCATGCGCAGATAGTTCATGAGGCTGGTCCCGTGGGGCCAAATGTTGGCTGACGTACAGGCCAGTGGCTTGACACCAATCTCCTGGCTGCGGTTCAGCTCTCGGACGGCGCTCACTACCACATGCACAGCGTCGAACATCAGGGCAGCCGACAGCTGTCAGCGGTTGAGCCATGGGAAGGAAACAAGCAGCTTAGTCAGGGGTCCCCCATAACTTGGCTCCCCAGGAATGGGAAATCGAGCAGTGAGGAAGGGTCTCTGGGTCTTTCTTGGGGAACATGCCTATGTTTTGTGGGCACAGTTCTGCTTGGTCAGGTGTGGCCCCATGTCTCTGTTGGGAGAAGGGCATGTCCATGGGGGTTTGCCTCCATGACCAGTTGCGTCACCCACGTGGGACGTGTTGGTGGGCCCAGGGTATGCTGGGAACCTGTGTCTGTGTGGCCGGTGCAGGCAGGAAGAGGGTCATGGCCAGTTTGAGTCGGGCTGGGGTATGTCTCTGTACATGGGGCTGGACAAAGCAAGGCAGGTGTGATGTTGAGGAGGGCAGGGAAGCGTGAGGTGGCTCTGAGTCGGGCCCAACTCTACTTCCTGACTCTGTGACCAGGACCAAGTCTTTGCCTTTCTCTGCATTTCAGCTTCCTCCTCTGTAAAATGGGGGTTACTGTAATCCCTGCCTTGGGGTGCCACTAGAACGCACGTCCAACACCTGCATATGAGAAGCATCTGGTTCACGTGGGCCATGGCACTGTGCCCGGCGACTGTGTGGGCCTGCCTCTGTGTCTATGAGAGCATGTTGTAGCTGTGTCTCTCTGTGTGGAACATCTGTGTTCTGTACGCATGCAGAGGTGCACATGAATGAGCCTGTCTCGGTGCGTGCAACCTGTCTGTCCACACACGCCTGACTGCATGGCTCCAAGTGCTGAGCCTTTCTATGGACAGATACCTGTAAATATGCAGTTTTGTATGTCTACATTTATTCCACATATAGTTATTGGATGCCTACTATGAGCCAGGCTTTGTGTTAGGTGCTAGGGATACAATGGTGAACAAAACAGCCAAAAACTCCTACCCTCAAGGAACTTACAGTCTACATGTATATAAAAACCAAAATGCAGAGGAAGCCACGTGGCAATTAGATAGGCAGAGATGGATGCTAGAAGAAAAATGAGGCTGGGAAGGGGGCTAAGAAGTAGGCAATTTGCAAGTTTTAAAATACAGGGATCAAGAAACAATCTCCAAGGAGATATTTGAACAAAGACCTGGCAAGGCAGGCGTGAGCCACTGGCTTTTTGGGGAAACACACGCACAGGGAAGAGCACACAAAGGCCCCAAGGTGCACACGTGCCCAGGGCACCAGGGACCCCTCAACGAGGCCAGTGTGGCCGGGGCAGAGGGGAAATGGAGAGGAGGCCCACTGCAGTCAGGCTTGACTCAGGGTGTCACAGGAGGTCTGGCCTATCTATGTTGACAGTGACTGGAAACTTAGTGTCCTGAGCATGATCTAAGGTTTGGAAGGGGTTTACGTGTGTGCCTCTGGGGTGACTGAGATCTGTGTGTTGGAGGGCCAGGGCACATGCTTACCGCAGGGCCCGGGTAGGTGCTGGCTTCACAGTTCTCCCTCCAGGACATGTTGAGGCTGCGCACAAACTCAGGGTAGAAGGGGTGGGACGTGTTGAACATGGAGAAGCCCAGGATGTTGGAGGAGTCCTCCACGATACCGTCCAGATGCAAGATGGGGAAGTCCTGAAGCCAAGAAGAGGTGGTGAGGCCTGGGGCCAGAACCCAAGAGGGCAGATGCCACAGGATGGAAGTAGGAGAGGGAGGGCTGGTGGGGGTACTCACCATGGTGGTGAGGATGTACTTGTAAAACGCTGAGGTCATTCCCAGCTCTGAGGCCTGGTGAACACAGTTGATGCACAGAGGCCGCACGAGGGACAGAGACCAACAGGCCAAGATGGGGAGAACCCAGGGCAGGAAGTGAGATTCCGAGGTGAGGCCGGCAAGGAGACCCCCAGTTGGAAACACAATTTAGAGACAGGGAGAGATGAGAAGGAGATTTGTGAGGGCAGAAGAAGGCATGGCCCTCATGCCCCAGCCTGCCGACCAACAGGGAGAATGGAGACTTTGTTGGAGAGACTGGGGCCGTCGAATGCCCCCGTCCTACATTAGGGAACTCAGAAAACTTCCTTCTGGAGACAGTTAGGCAAGGGGAAGCCTCAGAGACAGGTCGGGGAGGGGAGGCGAAATCCTAATCCCCACCCTGCCCAAAGCCAAGTGTGGGCAGCCTACTTGTGGTCACGTGGTCAGAAAAACTCCCCTGCCATCTTAAAGACCCTTTGCAATGACCAAAAGGCAGCCGATTCGAATCCTGAGGTTCCATTTCTGAGCCTCCTTGTCTCACAGACCATGGCGGCCCAGGTGTGTCAGCATGCCCCTGTGCTTCACGGGGTTTTGAGGGCTCATTTTCAGAAGCAGACTGGCAGACCTTCCTTCTGAGGCACCTCTGTGTGGACTTGAACCTTCAACTTTTCAGTCAGCAGCCGAGTCCAGTAACGTGGGGGCACCATGACTCGGAATAGACTCAAGGGCAGCTAATCGGTGGTTTTCCTCACAGATCCTTGGGGAAAACACAGCTAGAAACCTCCTCATGCCAGGAGGGCCCTGTCTCCCCTCCATAAGCACAGTATTAAACAATGCCAGCTTTGAGGATCCTGGCAGGATGTGGACACAGCACTACCCCACGGGTTATGGCCCCATTCTACGGAGAGGGAAGTGGGGGCTCAAAGAGAAGTGACAGCTGGTCACACAGCTCCCAAAGAGGTACCAGGACTCCGGCCCAGGCCTGCCTGCGTCCTGAGATCTTTTCCATAAGCCGTCCCACTCGAGAGCCCCATGGATCCCATTCACACTCCTTCCTGTTAGCTACCATCAGCAGTGACATATGGTTTTAATTTAAAAAAACAACTGGAGAAAAATAAATAATACAAATTTGATTAAGAGGAAAAATTAAGAGCAGGGAAGCCTATTAATGATGAATGAGTATGGGCCAACGGCAGACAGAGTGTGCTGGGCCCTGGGGGACGGTCCTGGCACCAGCCCCTCCTATGTGACCTGAGTCAGGCCGCTCCCCTCTGATCCCCACAAAGGATCATCACATTTGCCCTGCAGGGTGGGGTGAGCAGCAGATCAAACAATGTGTACAAAGTACCTCAACACAGGGCCTGCTGTCGATCAGGCACCTGCAGAACAACGAATAATTACCACAAAGTGTTTGGGTGGAGCAAATGGTCAGCGTGGCTGGCTGCTAACCAAAGGTTGGGTGTTCGAGTCCACCCAGAGGCACCTCAGAAGAAAGGTCTGGCGACCTACTTTGGAAAAATCAGGCACCAAAACCCCCTAGAGCACAGCTGTCCCGACACACGGGGTTGCCATGAACTGGAACCAACTCCATGGCAACTGTACCAAAGAGCCAGCACTTTCTCTGGGTCACAGCCTGTCTTTACACACCTTTGGCTCATTTAGTCCTCAAAAGAACCCACTGAGGTCGGAACTACAACAGTCTTCACTTTCCAGAGAGGGGAGATGACTGTCTGAGGTCCCACCAGGAAGCAGCCAAGCTGAGGGGCCAGCTTCATGTTTATCACCTGCAAGTCTGCTCTGAGCAGAATGTCTGAGGCCCGCATTTCACCCCTGGGGAAACTGAGGTCCGTGGACACTGAGTGACTCACTCAATTACCCTGCACTTCTGTGCTTTAGGGCATCAGAGATGAGGCACGCACCTTGCGGAGGATGAGGTGGGAGATGGATGCGTTGGCATCGATGATGATGGTGGACACCTTGTCGTCGCGGATCTCCTTGAGCAGTGGGGTAGGGTCCCGGCTGTCGTCCAGCATCCTCACCGACAGTGTCTCCTTGGAGATGAGGAAGCCGCGCACCAATTCCTCCAATCGCAGCAGGCCTGAGGGAGGGGTTGGGTTTTGGGGTTAGAGCCTTCTGTGAGCCTGGCGTGGGAGCAGAAACCCCTTCCTCGTGCCCAACAAGGGTGGCTGGAGAAAGACTAGAGATGGGGGGCAGCTGTCCAGACTGCAGCTGGGTCCCTCGGGGTACTAGGCTCTGGGACCCGACTAGGTCCCCCCAAATGACAGTCTCCAGCCTAGACCCGTCCCCAGAACTCCAGACTCTTGCCACCTCCCTGACCTCCCTGCCAAGACGCCTGACAGGATCTCAAACTCGATACACCCAAAGTCAGACTCCTCCTCATTTCTCCCAAGCCACCATCTCCAGTCTTCCCATGTCAGTGGACGGCAACCCCATCCTTCCAGCTGCTCAGGCCGTGATGCTTGACATCAGTCCTGCTTTCTCTCTTTCTTTCACACTCACATCCAATCCATCAACAAATCTTGTCAGCTTGACCATCAAGACATATCAGACACAACAACTGTGCCATGTGAGATACAACAATTGATCTTTATCTGCCTGGTGCAACAGAGGATGGAGTAAGGAATAAGAGGAGGAAATGGAATGTGTGGCTAATTGCCCCCATGAATAACTGCATCCTTTGCTGAGACTAAAAGAATTGGATGGTGCACAGCTGTCATTGAATATTTTCATCAGTCTATAGAAGAATTCTGATCAAAAGGGGGGAAATACAAAACAGAATTTCAAATTCTCATGGACTGTGGAACTTCTGGAGCCACAGAGGCTAGACGAATCCCTGAAACTATTGCCCTGAGATAATCATTAAATCTTGAACCAAATATATCCCTTAAACTCTTCTTAAAACCAAACAATAGTGTAGCTTAACTAGTAAAGAGTGTCTGCCCTAAGCACTTTGCTCTTTTAAGATCTATCCATGTAGCCTGGTGTAACCACTGAGACTATGGCCCCTAGCTGCCCTTCAGGTCTGGAATTGAACCCACAACTGTGGTTTCCAGCCAAACACAGGCATATGAGTTAAACATTTACCTCAAGTAGACA